TGTTGATGGAACTAGTACAAGTTTAGTCCCTGAAAAGTCAACAAAATCTGCTTCTGATATAGAAAAAGACTACCTGTGTCATGACAGAATTCTTAGTGCACTTGTTGAACCTATCTATGATATTTTTTGCACTACTAAATCAGCACTTGAACTTTGGGAAACTTTAGATAAAAAATATGGTACTGAAGATGCTAGACTAGGGAGGTATTACACTGAAAAATTCTTTGATTTTCAAATGATAGATGGAAAATTTGTGATGGATCAAGTCCATGAGTTTCAAAACATAGTCCATGAATTAAAGATGAAAGGCATGAATTTTCAAGAAAATTTTCTTGTTGCTGGGTTAATTAAAAAATTACCTCCTTCTTGGTCTGAGTTTGGTAGAATGCTTAAACAAAAGCCTCAAAGATTCTCTTTTGATGAGTTGCTAATTTCACTTAGAATTGAAAAAAAACATAGAGAGACTCAAAAAGAAAAATGAAGTGTAGAAAAACAAAATAAGGCACTTCTAGTAGAAAATCAAGCTTTTAAGCCAAAACCCAAAATTTTCAAAAATAAAAATTTTCATAAGCATGCAAATTTCAATAAACAATATGGGAACAAAAATCAAAAATATCAAAAATCTTGCTGGGTATGTGGGAAGACCAATCATTATGCAAAAGTTTGCTACCACCGTAAGGGTCAACCGAATAGAGATCGTGGTCATCAAGCTACTCCTAAGTCTCAAGTCAATGTGGTGACTATAGGGGATTCAATGACTGGTCCTAGTAACAGGTATATTTCAAATAGTCCAGAATTGAATACGATATATCAAACAAATGATTGGTGGATTGATTCTGGGGCTAATATTCATGTGTTCTAATAAGTCATTGTTTTCCACTTATCAGGAGTCAGACACTAGAACTGTGAGTATGGACAATGGTAGCATCACTAGTGTGCTTGGAGAAGGACATGTTAATCTTAAGTTTACTTCGGGAAAGACTCTTGCATTGGATGGTATCAAGCATGTGCCTGATATAAGTAGAAATTTAGTCGGTGGATCCTTTCTAGTTCAACACGGCTATCGAGTTGTATTTGAGTCTAAAAAAATTGTAATTAGTAAGAGTGGCTTGTTTGTTGGTAAGGGTTTTTGTGTGAAGGCCTTTTTAAGTTAAATGTAATTGTTTCTAATCCTAATGATAATAAAAGTTCTTACTTAATGGTTTATCAAGTTGAAAGTTCGAGTGTGTGGCTTCGAGTGTGTGGCATGAAAGATTAGGCCATGTAAATTATAATACAATGAAAAGAATGTTGAGTTTAGAACTAATCCCTAAATCTGAAATTAAAATTCAAGGAAAATGTGAAATATGTGTTCAAGCAAAACAACCTAGAAAGCCTTTTAAATCGGTAGTTAGAGAAACCAAATTGCTTGAATTGATTCATAGCGATGTTTGTGATTTAAATAATATCTTGACACGTGGTGGAAAAAGATATTTTGTAACTTTTATAGATGATTATTCAAAATATTGTTATATATATTTATTAAGGACAAATGATGAAGTATTTGAAAATTTTAAAATTTATAAATCAGAAGTAGTAAATCAACAAGAGAAGAAAATAAAAATATTAAGGTCAGATAGATGAGGTGAATATAAACCTATTGACATGGTAGAATATTTTGAAAATCATGGAATTATTCATCAAGAAACATTGTCATTCTCACCTCAATCTAATGGAGTAGCAGAAAGGAAAAATAGGACATTATTAGACATGGTAAATGTGATGCTTTCTAGTTTCAGTTTAACAAATAATTTATGGGGTGAAGCTTTGTTTTCAGCATGCTATATATTAAATCGTGTACCTTATAAAAATTATGATGAGACTCCTTATGAATTGTGGAAAGGTAGAAAACCAAATTTAAGATACCTTAAAGTGTGGGGGTGTCTAATTAAAGTGAGTGTTCGAAAGAATAAAAAACGAAAGCTTGGACCTAAAACAGTTAATTATGTTTTTATAGGCTATGCGTTAAAAAGTGTTGGATATAGATTTTTAGTTATTAAATCAGAAATTTCAGATATTACTGTTAATACTATTATGGAGTCACGTGATGTTGTATTTTTTGAGAACACTTTTCCGTTGAGATATCAAATTCCAAAGCAAATTAGTGAAAATGCCGTTGGGAAGCTATTAGCAAACAATCAAGATAATAAAGAACCTAGAAGGAGTAAAAGAAGAAGAGTTGAAAAGAATTTTGGTGAAGATTTTTACACTTGTATAGTACAAGAAGATCCTAAGACATATAATGAAGCAATGACATCTAGTAATGCACCTTTTTGGAGAGAAGCAATAGATAGTGAAATGAATTCTATTATGTGTAATAGGACTTGGGTGTTAACAGATTTGCCTCAT